TTTGGTGTGGAGGGCCGTTAACCCCCATCCGGGGCCACCCCCTGCCATGGGCGGGGACACCTCCCACCAGCCCAGGTGGCCCAAAGCCTCATCCAGCCTGGCCTTGAACCCCTCCAGGGATGAGGCATCCACAGCTTCTCTGGGCACCCTGTGCTCCCACCATCCCCAAAAAATAATAAAAAAATATTATATACATCGATAAATGGCCGTGGGGCCACGCCAGCCCTGGCAGGGGATACCCAGCTCCGGCCGGGCTGAGCCGCACCATGTCCCCCAGCTCTCTCCCCCTTCATCCTGCTCCCCGCGTTATTTTTAGGATCATTTTTTCATTGTAAACTTTCTCTGTTTCTATAAACTGCGCATCAGTCGTAATTACGGGTCCTGGCTGCTCCCGATGGTCCCCGTGATCGTTTCAGACACTAAATTAAAAGGAAATGGCAGGATATCCAACCACATCAAGTGCTCTGAAGCCTAAAATAGGTTGAAAGGAGATGCAAGGAAGATGCTATCCTTCACTTGCAAGCAGGAAAAAATAAGCTCCCGAGGTTTTCTGAAGCGGGGAGAGATTTAGGAGGTACCCCAAGCGCTGTGAAAAGCAGCCGAGCCTCTGCCAGGCTCCTGCTTCATCTCACAAGAGCTTCCTCCATCCTTCCAAGATGAATGTTGGGAGCCGCAGGACACGAGGATCGACACCGGGCACCCCCAGCCCAGCTGCCCAGAGAAGCTGTGGATGCCCCATCCCTGGAGGGGTTCAAGGCCAGGCTGGATGAGGCTTTGGGCAACCTGGGCTGGTGGGAGGTGTCCCTGCCCATGGCAGGGGGTGGCACTGGGTGGGCTGTAAGGTCCCTTCCAGCCCAAACCATCCTGGGATTCAACCAACATGGCCCTGGGGGGTCTGGCCAAGTCCTGGGGCAGCAGCAGACATGAGCAGGGAAAGGGGGGACATCAGCATCGTGGTGCTGACGGGGGCTTGGGCACACAGTGAGCCTCCCCCTCGCCTTGCTGTGACACCGTGACACCCTCCCTGCTCTGTGGTTACACCTGCGTGGAACCGTGACACTCAGCTGGTGGCTCAGCCTCGGTCGAGAAGAAATCTCAAAGCCCAGCCTAACCCCCCAGGGTTAAAAATACACCCCCCTGACAGCTCCGGTCAGCGCCCTGGAATAGCTCGGGTCAGGCTTCGAGGGAGAGGTTTATCTCCTCTCCGAGAGGCAGCGGTGGGATGGGACGGGTGGATCCATCCTCACCAAACCCAACCGGAGGTGCCCGATGGCCACCCATCGCCCTGAGGCCCCCGCTGCCCCCAGCCCCGCAGGGTGCTCTGCCTGCCCCAACCGCGACGTGTCTGTGCACCGGGGAGGTTTGTCACTTCCCCTTCCCAGGAACAAGGTGTGTCGCTGGGAGCCGCGCTCCGGCCCGGCTCACACAGGGCTGCACGATGGCTGGGAACGAAGAGGTTCCAATGGAGCCGCGACTTTCCCCCATTTGCATGTCCCATCGGGGTAATTGTGCAGCAAATTATGCATGCAAATGAAGGCTGGCCTTCTCCCACAGAAATGTATTTAATGAACATGAACAGGCTGACGAAGCCGCAGAAATCAAAGCCATTCAAATTGAAGGCTGGAATTGTGATCCCCCAACTCTCCCCTGCTGCTGCTCCAGGAGCACCGGGAAGGGAAGCGGCACCCGCACCCCTGCACCAGCATCAGCACCCTGCACCCGCAACC